TCCTCCTCCATGTATGACTCTCATACTTGCAAGTGGACGGACCGGACGAGCGTTCGGTCCGGTTCGCTTTGCCACGTGGGGCACCCTCCCCCCCGACCGGACGGACCCGGACCGGACCGGACCGGACCAGACGGGGTGCGGTCCGGGACTCATCTGTTCAGTGCGGTTTGGTTAGGGACTGGAGCGGTGCCTTCCCCGCACCGTCCGGGTTGGTAGGGACCCTTTTTTTTTTTTTTTTTTTTTTAGGTTCTGCAGGGTGGGGGGCCTTGTTGGGGGGGAGTGCACACCTCTGAGGGTCCGAAGTTGCGAACTATTGGCAAATGTAAGGGGGCATGCTCAAGATTCGTCTTACGAAACAAGCGACGGTGTCGTGACTGTAGCAATTGCATTGGCGGGGCAGGCAGTGTGGCAGGGTACTCACCTGTCCCTCTGCCCCTCTCAACACGCCCTCCCTTCCCCTTCTCCATTGTCCCTCCCTCCCTCCCTTCTACCTCACTTCTCCCTCCAGTTCTCCACCCATGCTAATGAAGAGTGAGAGGGCTTTCAAACAGAGAGGGCTTTCAAAAAAAGTCCTCGTGCGAGTTATCCCCTTCAGACGAGTGAAGAACGAGAGGAGAAAGAGAACAAAGCCCCCTCGTTTCCCGCCCGAAATCCAATCAATCCGACGAACCCGAAAAAAACGAACTTATTATCTGCCCTGGGGACGACGGGCTGGATGGCGCGAGGAAGTGAGGAGGACGAGGGGAAGGAGGAAGACGACGATCTGGAGAGGAGGACGACAAGGGTGGGAGGGGGGGGGAGGAGAACAGGAGGAAGGGAGGAGGACGACGAGGATGGAGAGGGGAAGCAAACGGGGAGGATCTGGAGAGGAAATGAAAAGGACAAGGGTGAAGATGGCAGCCTGCTGCTAGTTGCCCCGAATTGGTGTTTTTTTTGTTGTTTGTTTTTTTGTGTGATATGTATGTGCTTTAGGGTATATCCGTATTCAGTTTCGATGCATTTGGACCACTAAAAAAAATGTTGGCAAAAACATCGAATTCGGAAAACAAATTGGCGAACTCCGAAAGCTACTATGAATAGGGTTTTATAATGCTTTTTAGGGTTTTTTTTTTCAATTTTTTTTGCCTGTTTGTTTTTTTGATGTTTGTATTATAAGCCTGCATTATTTGTTCGCTAAATTTTTGACGACATTGCTTGTGGTGGTGCGCCCAAAAACACCGAATTTTTGGTCTTCCATTAACCATCTCTCGTCAAACCTAGACGGTATCATCACCGCCTTCCTATCCATCTATGGACTGCCATAGCTGGGTCCAGCTATTGCTGCAGGTTCTAGTCCCAGGGCTGCGGCAGTTGCAGAACTTCCTGCGCTGCCGCTTGTAGCGGCAGTGGGAACTGCACCTGTCGCAGGTCCTGCTTGATTTATAACCAAAATCATCGAAGAAGATTGAGAGGAAGGAGAGGAATGGACGAGTGCAAAGGTAGAACGCAGAAGAGAACTTGAAGTTTGGGCCTGATGCATGCTGGTCATTTGTTGCAGCTGATCGCGATGCTCTCTAGCCATTTCAGCCATTTGAGTACGCATTTGGCTCATCTGCTCGAGGAGTTGAGATTTCACACTCGGGAGTTCGCTGAGCAGATGGTAGTTTACTATTGCGCGTACATACACAACCAGATCTTTTTTAAAGTCTACATCAAATACATTTGAAACTGTTTTGAAAATAGCTTCAAGTTCGTCAGCGACTGTTTTCCGCTTTGCCTCTTCCGCTTTCTCCTCCTCAGCCAACTCTTTTTGATAGAGGCCCTCATACAACAGTTTATCAGTCTCACTCGCTGCATCCATGCAAGCCTTTAACATATCAGAAAGTTTGGCTGGTGCAATGTCATAACTTCTAGTTCCTTCGACTGTGATGGCTTCTCTCACCCTTCTCTCTTGTCTGGGCGTCTCACTGGGCATGTAGTGGATTTCAGAAAAGAAACAAACTGAAAGTATAGAGAGGAAGATAGAACTCTCAGTCGGAGCGGCAAATATTTGGACTAGAGAGCAACCAAAAGAAACAAATCAAAGAATACAATACAATCAGAAGAGAGTTTTGATTCCGCGTTCAAGTCCGGTTGGACCAAGTACAAGATCCCCTTGAGCCTAATCCAACTGGCACCGTCAAAGTACATCAAGCCAGACTACAAGTAACATCATACAGCAATGGAGAATTGAGTGGTGTATAAGGTGCAGGTCAAGCATTGGATTGTGTGTCATCAGTCTGACAAAGCATCTCAGCCGAGATCCCCTCCGCAACGAGGGCTCTAATAAAAAAGAAGAATACCGTATCCCAAACAGAACAAAGAGCGACACTGCGTCAACAGATTGGGTCCAAGGGGCCCTTCTTGTTGGGGCCCGGTCCCACTGGGTCCCAATGGGTCCCAAGAAGGTCGCGACCAAGTCCCAACCAAGGAGAGTACCTCAAGGTCCTACTTTCTGCTTCTACCGTACTGAAAAACGAATTTCAACTTCAGGATAGAACCTACAGACTATATCCATTCACAAATGAAAAGACAAAGCATTGTAGAAAGATATGGCTTTTCAAGCAAGATACTTCATTTCTATATCCATCAGGTGAGTAAGTAGTTCGCACACCAACGCACACAACCAAGATTTCAAAGGAGTAGGAAAGAGACCCAAAAGTACCCCAGCAGGACAAACAATACCATGCACGCATACATAGGCAACGCTTAGGTGCACGACACTTACCTGAGTGGCCCGGACTATGAGATGAAGTATAACTCACCCCCCTTCCTCATGTGGTCTTCCTAACCCTATTCGCTACCTCTACACTAGTGTCCTATCATGTAGGAGGGTCTCACTTCCAACACCAATGTGCAACGCCGGATCCCTCGTCGATGCTGAAGAACAAAGTAGTAACTTGCAGTCCGTAGATGCAAAATGGCTACCTCCCTTAAGATTGCCTACTTGAGGGAGGCCCTCAAGTCACCAAGTGTCTCCTTTAGGTCAGATTCCAGGTGCGAGTACCTCTTACTGTCGCCTCTGAACTTGTCACATGAAGTCCTCTTGATGTGTCTCGCCGCCACATACTTACTCTCAAACAACCTGGTCAAGTTCAATGCCGACCCAGAATAACCTAACCAGGTGGAGGCAGCTTCCCTAAGCCACGCTGCCCCACTTCCCACTTCGGACCAACCCTAACCTTACCCTAAGTGGTTAGCCTTTACCACTTAGGTTAGGGTTAGGGTGGATAAGTCAACTCTCACCAGCAAGTAGAATCCGCTCTGATACCAATGTCACGATCCTGGCCAATTTCGAAGTACACATTCATCAGTAATACAATGCCGTCCTATTGCAGAAAGAAATGAATGAACTTGAGAGGAGAGGGAGGGTAAGAAGAAGAAGAAGAAAGAAAGAAAGAAAGAAAAGGAAGATGATGTACACCAGCATAGACAAATGATAAAGCTCTTCTTCTTCGCCAAACACTCTCCTCCTCCTTTACTCCTCCTCTCTTATTCACACAAGAAATAATAGTACAATGTTGAATGGCTGAACCAGAATCAATGTCCGAATCCCTCTTCTACTGCAGGTATCACTTGAGGTCCACCATAGCCATGGCCGCCTCCCTCACTCTTCACTCTCATAGGCCGAGGCTATGGCGGACTACTGGGCCTTGCCCTGATGCCCAAAGGACAAGCCAACGCAGCGATGGCTGCTCTAGCTCAGGCTGCCATGCCTGCCTCTGCCTCGAAGCTTCTTGGTGTAGCTCTACGCCAGATGGGGTTTTCCTGCTGCAGCGCCCACCAAGGTGATGAAGATGCTGCCACCATAGCCAGGTAAGTACCTCTGGCGCTCCCCCTTCCTCCTGATCTTCTTCCTCCTCCGTGTCCTTGCTCCTTCCCCAGAAGCACTACTCTTGCTAGCGCTGCTCCAGCCAGTGCCCCAACCAGTTTGTCACCAAACTTGCACACGGCTCTTCGCCCGGCCTGGAGATATAGCGGCCTGCTTGCTTCTTCGGGCGGTGACTTCCAGGCCGCTTGGCCTTCCAAGCAACCGGTACCTCCTCCCTTTCGGAGGGAAGCATAATTGCAGACTCTGATATTGCCCGTACAGGCCCTAGACTCAGACTGGTTGGACTGGTACCCGCCTAGACCTAGCCTCCAACCACTGGGCCTCTAAAATTGCCACTTTTGTCTTCTCCTGCGCGGCCTCTAGTACCCGCACATCTACCACTTCAGGATGCGGCCTACCTGCTACTTGAGTGTTTCCCCCGCTGCAATCCTAAATGTCACGGCCACAGGTAAGTACCGGCCCTGAGGGCCCAACGAATGAACAAGTGCCCTTGCGGGTCACACACACACTCAGGCCAACAAGCACTCAGACAGACATGCAGACCAGCAAGCGTGCACACACAGACTTAGAGAACTTAGTAGCAAGCGGGAAACTCAGCAAGGCATTCAGTCCATGAGCAAAACTCAGAAATCAGCTGTGTGTCTCACTCCGTGTTTGGTCGAGTCATCACAAAACAAGAAAATCACAAAAACGAAAAAAGAATATAGATACAGCAAGCTGGCGGGTGGTAATCCGCATACCAGGGATCGAGCCCTGGCGGAGTCCGTAACACGGTGCCCATAAGGACCTGTTTATGCAAAAAGAAGAAAGAAAAAGAAAAAGAAAACGAAAAAGGAAAAGGAAAAGGAAAAGAAAAAGAAAAAGAAAGCCATCGCCGGCTTGATGAAGTCATGCTCTCTGCTGAGCTCCACTCCCTACCTTTCAATAAAACGGTTTATTAAAACCATTATATAATATATATTATCATATTGTATATGTGATGATTTATACTCAAGCAAGTGATGATGTACACTTAAGTTTTTCAGTGGAGAAAGTGGAGTTCAGCAGAGATCCTAAACGAGTTCTTTTTCTTGTTGTTTTGTTTTCTTTTTGTTTTTGTTCGTGGGTGGGAGGGGGGTTGGGAGATTGCTACAGCGTATGCACACTTCACCTCAGAATGGCTGAGAAAATTGGGTTTGTATCAAAAAATGTCTCCACAATCGTGTCCAATATGCTGTCATCAAGGCCATCATCCTCATCCCTGATGCTGATAAAAGTTGTTGCAGGGCCTGCTTCTGCAACAAGCACCGAGATGTTGTTACTGCTTTTCGAAACTGCAAAAGACACACAACGCCAGGAAGTGGAAGAAGACAAGAGATGGAATGGACCCTGATTACCATGACTCACAATTCAGGAGGAACGGAAGGGGTAGGCCCCAAAAGAGTCAGGCCCAACTCTTTGTGTTCGGGCTGGAACATAATCCCATGGCTAACAGTCTAAGTTACCCAAAGTACATGGGGGCCACAAACGTGGCCAGAATCGCCATTTGTGGGCTTAGCCAAAGTAAGTTAGCCGAGATATTTGAGGTGAAATAAGTTCACTGAAAAGTCCTCTTTCACTAACACATTTTGCCAAAGAGATGGCATTGTTCGAGGACACCTTTGCTTAACTTTTCAAGTGAATAAGTGTGTACAAATATGAGGACTTTCTGGGGTGTATCTGGGCAGAAATACAGCCAGACGACAGAGTCATTAGATGAGTACGGCCCGAGGTGGATGCATGCCCCCTGGTGTGAGTATTGCCTGAGGTGCATGGCCCCAGCAATCAAGCAACTTGGTAAAAGGGATCTGACAAAAGATATTCTCTTCTGAACTTTCCTCCTCATCAGAACTTTTGTGGGTTCTGCCATGACCGTCTGTGTTATAGTACAGAGACAGCTTTTTTTTGCTTTTTTTTTTGTCGTTTCACACAGACAGACTTCCAGGGACTGCCTATCGACTATGGACCAAAGGACCTAAAAAATTAGTAAAAATAACTGTCAACTTTGTTGATAGTCCCAGAGTCATGAATCTCAGCCCCAGAGTCCCACTTTCCCAGTGTACTATAGTTCCATCCGCTAGGCACCGTAGATTGTGTTGATGAGGCCCGCAGTTTAGGTTCAGGCCGTACAAATGTTGACAGTTAGTTTTAGGTCCTTTGGTCCGTACGGGTCGATAGGCAGTCTCTCGAAGACTGTCTGTGTGAAACGTTGACAGTTGCAGGCTTGACTGTAAAAWGTTSWCAGTTAGTTTTAGGTCCTTTGGTCCGTACGGGTCGATAGGCAGTCTCTCGAAGACTGTCTGTGTGAAACGTTGACAATTGCAGGCTTGACTGTAACAACTCCTACAATCAGAAGATGGTGTCTGCCCTTAATCTCCTCCCCAGTCCCGGGAAAAAAAAAAGGAAAACAAACTGTTGGCAGGTGCGCCTTAAAAACAAAAAAAAGGAAGGAAAAATAAAATAAAATTCTGCCGGAGGGCCGACTTATGGAGGTGATAAGAGCACCCTCCCTAAGTGGGTCCCTCTTGTTTGATGGCTGCATGCCAATGGTCTAAAAAAAAAAATTAGAGCCCTCTGTGACGACCTACAACACCAGAAATAAGAAATACACCGCAGGACCTATACGCAACACCAAGAGTGCCGTGAGCCTCCCCCTGCCGCACAACCTGCAGAATCGGATGATGTCCTCGTGCTACAGCGAGGGCACTGCAAGAACTATGCCAAAGCCCACAAGATCTGCACGCGATACCAGGAGCACTACTGCTTAAAACACCCTAGAAGGCACCCCATTCTTCCATGCGCTCCGAACGAGCAGCCCGTCGGAATGACACCCATCGCAAACACTCTCTGAGCCTCCTTGCACATATATTTTGGCCAAAACCCCAAACTTCCACCCCAGAAAAAAACTTGTGGCCACCCACAGACATTACTTCATCGACAAGACAGCCCATGCTACAAAGCAGGGCAAAGAATTAGGCCATGTATAAAAAACCAGACCCACAAAACACATCCATCCACAGAGAAAGAGTAGCTCGCTAGTACGAGCCCTATCCTTACCGCTCAAATCTTCCAAGACAGAGAGCTAGCAAGACCGAAATGTGTGTGTGTGTGTGTGTGTGTGTGTGTGTGCATGTGTCCAAAATTCTCCAAATATTTTCAAGCCATGTTTGAGGTCCGATACACAACATAACATGATGCCACCAGCACGGACATCATAGCATCGAATGAATCACACCCTGATCCATGCTAGTATTCCATCCGACCAGGGATGCACGACCTCACTGACTTCCCAAAGAAGACACAAGGAATGGAGCCCAAGGGCACTAAGCCGTGAGCTGAAACAAACAATACATAGCAACTAGGGGAAGGCAGAAAAAAAAGCAGCGAGGAAAACGGCATGCGGCATCAACAAAGGGCGGAAGCTGGATGGCAAGGGGGAGGCGGGTGGTGCAGACAAACAGCACGCCGCAAAGCAAACAGCACAAGGCAGCAAAGCAAATGGGCTGGAGGGCATGGGGGAGGCGGGTGGGCAGGCAAACAGCAAACAGCAGGCCACAAAGCAAACAGCACAAAGCAACAAAGCACACAGGGCGGAAGGCATGGGGTAGGCGAATGGGCAAGGGAACAGCGTAAGACAGCGAGGGAAACAACAGCAAGACAAACGACGACAAGGCAAAAACAACACCCAAAAAATACAAGTAAAAACCAGGCAAAAACTGAAAAAAATAAAAGTTGATGATGACAAGATTGTTTCGTCGGAATTGCACCGACTCATCAGGAGGCTGAACCCTCGACAATCTGCGGAATCCCCGTATTTGATGGTTTGGGTCATGAACCCTTTGACCCTTGTTGAAGGCAGACTGTCCCAAGCGGAACTTAGCAGCGTGCGGCAACCCTGTGAAGCACCAGGCAACACAGTAGAGGCATCACGRCTGCTCAACGCCAAAAAAACGACTGCAAGGAGCGACATGGCACGCAGGATGCAGCACGGAAACCGTGAAGTGAAGTACAAGACAACACAAACACGGCATCAGCACTGCAGGGGACGACAAGGCGAGTGGTCCAGCAGGTCAGCAACTGTGGAGCGGAGCACAAGGCACCAGCAACAACGCAACCAACCTAGAGGGCACACAAGCAGCAAAGACGGAAGGCACGGCCAGTGAATGAGCAGCATAGCAGGGAAGCAGCGAAGCGCAAGGCATCACCAACAACACGGCCACACTGCACAGCGAACACATCAGCCTGCAAAGAACCACATGCGAAGCAAGCGGGACACAGGCAGCAGGGCAGCGGCGGAGCGCAGACGAGGACGTCCACACATCCAACACGGAGCAAAGCAGCACATGACCTACTCACATCACGATTGAACCCCGCAGACTGTTGGTTCCCACCACCCACTGAGCCAGGGAGTCAACCCGACGAGCATCCGTCATCACCGACAGGCAACACAGACATCCCGAACCGAGCGGCCCCCCTAAGAGTGCAGTTGGCCCTCTGAACGAGGAACCACCGACTGTTTGGCACTACTAGAGGGCGCTCAATTGGGCATACACGAAAGGACTTAGACAAAATCAGAAAGAAGACATACAACAGAAAAAAGACTGACAGACATAAAACTGATTGTGTGTGTGTGTGTGTGTGTGTGTGTGTGTGTGTGTGTGTGTGTGTGTGTGTGTGTGTGTGTGTGTGTGCGTGCATGTGTCCAAAATTCTCCAAATATTTTCAAGCCATGTTTGAGGTCCGATACAGGGCCTCGCTCCACTACTCTGACTCCCGAAGTTTCGAGAGTAACACCTCGCTCCACTTACTAGAGACTGGAACTCATGACAACACCCTTCGAGAGCTGTTAGAAAGCGCTCTCGAAGGGCACTCTCGATTTGTATAGAGTTCACAGCCTGCAACGCTCAGGTTTTCTAGCGTCCTCCCTCCTACCCCCGCTCCGGGCTCTTTTTTCGCGAATGTGCCTCCTTCCCTGACCATCAGAACGAACTGGCGCTGTCATCTAGTGCTGCAGAAGGGCTGTCATGTAGCGCTGAGAAATCCGTGAGTGCTTCTATTGTTCTCGAGTCTGGAGTAAGTCGAGCAATGCTTCTTTTTTCAAGAGTTCTAGACCTCTGACAGATCTAGAAGCACTCACAATTTTTTTCATGAGTCTAGTGTAGTGAAGCCAGACCCACAATCATGATGAGGGTGCATTGTACTTGCTTGCAGAAACGGATATGTCTGACACCCTCGTCGTTGCTGTGTCGAACCAGGCCCTGAAGTTGCCTTCCACTGTCAGAGCAAGAGAGAGAGGGGGAGGGGCTACTTCAGGGCCTCGCTCCACTGCACAGCTTTCTGCTTTTTTTCGCCTCCCTCCTGCACAGCATTCTAAATGTATCTGCCACTGGCAGTGGTCCTAATACATTCAAAATGTTCAAACAGTCCAAATGCACATGGTCCACTCAGAAGTCCAGATACCTATCTAATGTCGAGCCGTGGAACGAGGCCCTAAAACCCCCTTCCAAGTTTGGCATGCTTTAGGGCCTCGCAGCACCACTCACCAGAGGTGCAGAATGAGAATGTACATCCCGCTAGAACATGGAGAGATAAACCCGCCATATTTTTGTTGTTTTCGCATTCGATGAGTGGTGCAGCAAGGCTCGTCAGTGAAAGTCCGACGATACGTTCTGACACAGTCATGTAAGAGGCTACCCCCGAACATAATGCACTGTGATTTTGAATGCATACAGGCTATATTTCCAGTCTGATATGGACGTGATGACGGTGTTACGTTCGGGGGAAGAAGGCTGAGTGAGGTGCGCACCAGGACCCGGCTATGGAGATCACACTATGTTTACTGTGACATGTAATGCCTCGCATGTGGTGATCTACCATGTCTGAATCTCATGTTTTTCCTTCTTTTTTTTTGTTTTTCTTTGCAATTGCTTGGAAAAATGAATGCCTTAGATTCACTGAAACGGGTAGGCGTCACTACCCGTGCTCAAGGAAGGAGTTATTCACAACTAATGGAAGCGTGGATGTGTATCACGAACATGACAAGGACAGACACATTAAAAAAAAATAAAAAAATGCTGCACGAGCACGAGGGGCAGTCACGTGCGCCCAGCGCACTGTACCTGTGCTCACAGTGCGCACGCATTGGTCAGGTGCACATAAATGCCTTGCGCATCGCATCGCATCACACGGCGCACCACACAGGTGCCCCGGAGCTTCTTTTTTCCCTCATTTTCATGCCCCCGGACCCCCCCTCTCACCCCTCCTACAATACTCCTACCAATCTAGCCTGTCTGGCCTGTTACTAATATGCTCAACAAAGGTGCTGGATGCTCCCTCCAACAAAGTGGAAGTACAAGATCACGCTATGCTTTGCAAAAAAAGAAAAAACACGTGCTATGCTTATGTGAAATCTCTAGAAAAACTGAAATGATAACTAAAAACTAATAAAAGCCATATTCCGAAAGAGATCCTCCTGTTAGTGGATTCCACAAATTGGCCCAGTTCCAATTTCAATAATAGGTTTAAGCCGAGTGTGTGTTTGGAGTTCAAAATTTCAAAGTCCAAACGCTTCAAACCACTTCAAACACCACGAAGAAGTACTTGAAGTGGGACACCTACCTCGTGCAACCGTAAGTGACACATACTCTTCGCGTGAGTTGAAGAAAAGAGGTGTATCCGGGGTGCTCGCAAGGAGGAGCGACTCCGCTATCATCCTGGGTATGCACAGCAACTTCTCTGCAGCTGCCTGATTGACCGCAGTCTGTAGCTTGCAGTCCAATCTCCTTTTGGCCGAGCTTGTAACGTTGCTTAACATTGCGAGCATACACTGCATACACAAGACCCGACACAAACCCGTGACCAGGTGTGGCAAAATATATTACAAAAAGGAGGAAAAAAGACATTCATAGTTTGACATCACTTTACAGAACACATTGCAGTTAACTTTTTGTGAGGCTACATACTATACATATTATAGTACACTAGGGGACCTGCTGCGGCTACGCCCGCAATAAAAATGGAATGTTTGCCAAGAAGTTCATGGACTCTCTCTCTCTCTCTCTCTCTCTCTCTCTCTCTCTCTCTCTCTCTCTCTCTCTCTCTCTCTC